TACAGCAATAATAACACCTGAGACAAACACAGGCCGGATACAGTATCTTTGATCCGTAAAGAATAATTATTTCATGCTGTTTGTTCCTTGCCTTAATTATAATATTTTTCTGTTGTTATTCGTTTGCTTGTGATTTATTTTCTTCATCTTTTTTGTACTGATGATAAACGAGACTCGTTGGCTAAGCTTTAGGGGTTTGTGTCATATTATTTATGCAGGATGATCTTGGAATATTTTATTTATATATTTAAAAACTGAATTGTTATACTCGTACTTAATGCTTAATACTATGGTGCATTCTCTACCAATTAACCATGGGTGCCAAAGATAATTGTTGGCAGGTGCAAAACATAATACATAAATAAGCGTACACAGTAAACACACACTCACACACATCCAAACACACACACACACACACACACACACATAAACACCACACACACACACACAAATATATATATATATATATATATATATATATATATATATATATATAATATACTGAGGGCGCAATTAATAAGCATGTGGGTATATATATATATATATATACATGCTTAATGCGTAATGTTGTCGTAGAAGAACTTTGAAGGAGTTTTTATATGTTGCATTCTTAAAATAATAGGGAGGAGGGGGTTCCAATATTATTAATGACAAAACGAATTTACCGAATTAACGAGAGCTTCGTTCGGAGAGATTCGCGTGCGAATTCTGCGTATAACTACATGATACTACATATTTTCTATGCTAATCTCAAGGACAAAACAGAAGTATAATAGCAAATCAATCTATTGACACTCATTTTTCCAAAATTAATGTATTACAAAATTATTATTTCTTTTGTAAAGCTGAAGTTGACACATGGACGCACTGTCTATCTGATGGTAAGTGACTACTGCAGTCATTAAACACTATTGATTTCAAACCAGGAGGCCTACAGATGGGTTATTACCTCTAAGGGTTAAAACAGAATGCCTCACAGACTATAATTATACTAGCGCTCTATACTCTCCAGGATATTCTTTTTAATACGATAAGGGTAACAAACGAGTACACAGTCCACCTGATGGTAATTGGATGCAGTGACCCACAGACATCTATATTTAACCTCAATTAAGAATCAAAATGTAGATGCATGGTCACCCTGAGGACTAAGATAAAATGCCTCGATTCCAGTAAAACACGTCTCCGGTTCTCTGCACTCATCATGCGAAACAGCAGCATTAAGACGCTATTATACGCTGGTATTCTGTGAGAGCGTGGTCCTAGCCCGGATGAGCCGACCCATTCGTGCTACAACCATAATACAGCTGCAGCGTGGTAACGTATAAAAATATATGTTGATAGGAATAGGTGAATACCTGTCCAGTCGGATTCCTAGGCATAAAAGTAGACCTATCTAGTCTTACATGTAAATCCATCCATCTCAGCCTACAGATGATCTTAGCAATGACAGCTGAACATATTGATGACCCCCCCCATAGATTGCCTCATAGGGGAATTAGAAATAGTTGCCACGCTCGGCAGGCCAGTTGGCCACTGCAGCTTTTTATTATTTTTAAGTTGTTACTGCCGTGGTAGCGAGATGGTTAACGCTCGCTGTAACCCGGGTTCGATCCCCGCCGGCACCAATGAAATTGTTAATTGCAATTTTAAGTGCTAATTTACCACGTGGTCGGCGGTGAAGGAAAACATCGTGAGGAAACCTGCATGTCTGAGGAAAAAGAAAAAAATATTTCGAAGTTCACCAACACGTGTTGGGGCAGCGCGGTGAACATTTCCTTGTCCTAAAACCCTCTCAGAAATGAGGGGAGGCCTGTGCCCAGCAGTGGGACGTATTTAGGCTGTAAAAAAAGTTGTTACTAGGAAGATAATTAATAGAATCAGACATTACTTAACTTAGCGGTTATTACCTGCAGAGTCTACATCAGCTGAGGATGCCTCGTGTAGAGGCGAAACACATGTCGTATTGTCGACGGTGGTGTGTCTTTCCTAGTATAGTGGTGTTGAAAGTAGTGGTGCTGGGATTAGTTGTGACGGATTAGTGCACGCAATTGAGGGAGGGCAGGCAGATACTCTTTAAACTAGGTAAAACACATCATTTTATTTTGTTAATAGGATGTATGCGTATTATTTATAAACAACTTTAATGTGAGCCGTGGTAGCTCAGTGGTTAACGCTCGCTGTAAATATAACAGAACGCGAGTAACCCGGGTTCGATCCCCGCCGGCACCAATGAAATTGTTAATTGCAATTTTAAGTGCTGATTTACCACGTGCTCGGCGGTGAAGGAAAACATCGTGAGGAAACCTGCATGTCTGAGGAATAAGAAAAAAAAAATATTTCGAAGACATGTGAAGTTCGTCAACACGCATTTGGGCAGCGCGGCGGACACTTCCTTGCCCTAAACCCTCTCAGAAATGAGGGGAGGCCTGAGCCCAGCAGTGGGACGTATATAGGCTATAACTTTACTTTAACTTTAATGTTATTAGGAATATGCTGCTGCCCATCTCCTGTTTCAGTTTTTTTCTGTCGCTTCTTTCGACACCAACGGGCCGATATGGGTAATAGATATACTAACACCATCACCACTCGATAAGTATTTCATATGTTCGAGAGGATTGGACTTAATTACCACGGTAGACGGATGGACTGATGATCGCAATATTTAACGTCACGTCGGCCAGGGTAGCCTGGTATTATTATACAAGTTTCACAGATAACTGTATAGTATAGTACTGTATAGTGTCAGCGTTAGATTTTTTTTATGGAATAAGGGTGATAAACGAGTATACACTCCACCTGATGGTAAGTGGATGCTGTATTCTTTAAATTTCTACATCTATCCTCGATTGAGAATCAAAATGCGGATGTGTTGTCACCCCTGAGGACTAAGACGGAATGCCTTGATTCCAGTAAAAAGGGTCTCCGGTTCTCTAAACTCACCATACGAAACGTAGCGGTGTTCATCTGCTATTTTACGCTGGTATTTAAGAACATTAACTACGTCCGAGGGTGACGTTAGAGGCGAGAGAGGAAAATCGAAAAAGATCTCTTTTTGTATGAGCAGAAGTATCTTTCTGATATCAATTGGGAATAATAAATAACTGCGTTCGCTAACCTACGTACAAGGCGTGAACACTATTGAAAAATACCCCCTATGTGGCAATCTGTAGGAAATATGTGGTCTCCCGATAGGCTTTAATGAATAAATAAATGAAAGAATGAATAGATATGTTGTAGGACATTTGTGCTATTGTAAATGTAGGTTATTATGCTGGAGAATAAATCAGTTGATTTATCGATAACGAATGAGTATATTGCAAAGACAACAAGAGATATATGGAAATGTGTAGTTATGGAAACTCGTTTAAAATACAGATATCGGGATGTCTGATTTTTTAAATAGTGAAGATTTCAAGTCAGCCGTACGTCGATTACATCTGGCTAGCCATTAAGAGAGCTATTTTCGAAGTTACTTTGCGTGATAGAACTCGTAATGATAATAATTGCAGTAGAACCAGAGTAACAGACATAGTCCAACGGATCGGATTGCTGAACTAGTAATGGGCTGGCCATTTGGCTCAAGAAACCGAAAATCGACGGGAAAGAAAGTTTCTCGAGTCGCAGCCTTATCCCGGTTAACGATAAGTAGAACGGCTCCCACTAGATGGAGTGACAACCTGGCAAGACATTTAGAAAGTTGATGGATACAGATGGCTTAAGACCAGGTTTAATGGCATTCCTAATGATGATGATGTGATATGATCCGATGATAAGTAAATGTTTTGAATACTCGTACATCCATAATAACAAGTCTAAAACCGATTAAAAATTAAAATGCAAATGTGTTGTCACCGTTGAAGATCTGAGATAGAATGTCCCTTACACCTACGTTGATTAGCAATTAAAAATAAAAATGTAAATATGTTGTTCCCCCTGAAGGTTAATGCCCCGTTATCATTAAAGATTGGAGTTTCGTCTCTCACCATACGTAGCACAGCAGTTTTATATAGCTTTTCTACGCTGGTATTCTGTGAGGGCGTAGCACTTCCGTGGTCAAGCCGACTGAATCGTGCTGCAACTTAATACAGATGCATCGTTGTTCTAGCACGTAGTGTCGTTGGTATTTCCCGACATCGTTTTTTAAAACAACAACAAATTAATTATGTATCTAACATAGGGCTGCCATACGTCCCGGTACACCGGGACATGTCCCGGTTTGAAGCGTTGTGTCCCGGTGTCCCGGTCAACAGGTCATTTGTCCCGGTGTGCACACAATTCGCAAGCTACCCCTGTGTAGTTAAGTGCAGCGTCTGCGATCGGCGAGTGGTTGAAGTGGAGCGGAGTCGAGCGAGCGAGCCTAGCTGCCTTCTTTGATTATTAACACGTGCGCGTAGGGTTGCCAACTTTTTCAAAGGAAAATAACGTATATTCCTTTCAGACGGTTATATACACTATAATTATTACTATTCCACCGAAACAACAAACGTTGAGCATAGAGTACAGAGTACAATATATACTGGAGACATTGACTGACACTTGACTGTACTGACAGTACAGATTTTTCGAAAGTTGTATGATAATGTATTTTGTTGTTATTCTGTTCTGTGTATGTGTGAAAGTATAAAATGATTGGAAATTCTGAGTAATGGACTGAGTTAAATTCAGAAATTTGGCAGAATTCTTGCTTTCATTCAATTCACACAATATTTCACGCATAAGTTAGAATAAAGTATTTTAGATACTTTTTTCTTATTCAAAAGTATAAAGTATAATCAAGCAAAATACCGTAAGATACGTTATTTTAAAGTATAGTTGGCAACACTACGTGCGCGTCCCGCGCCGCGTGCCCCTCCGCCCTCGCGCCTTGAACGTCACGCGTCGTCGCAGTGTTTCGTTTGATTGCTTTAAAGAACAACGTACTTAATTTGCGCTGCGCGTTATCCTGTATTTCGTAGTTTAGTTTTTTTATTGCCAGTCTGGTATTTTGCTAAAAAGTCATGCCAAAAAGAAAGTGTTTGTTTTCGGACGATTATACTAAAGAGTGGTCATTCATTAAAAGAGGAAGAAATGATTATGAAGCCTTTTGTTCAATTTGCGGCTTTCATATATCTGTCAGTCACGGCGGTAAGTCAAGTGTCAAAGACCATATCCAAAGTAAAAATCACAAGACGAAATTATCAGTTGCATCAACTTCTAGAGATATATCGACATTTATGATCACGCAATGTACTGCCGAAGACATGTTAATATGCGCTGCCGAACTGACCACAGCTTATAAAGTCGTAAAGCACCACCAATCGTTTAGCTCTTTAGATTGTACGACAAAACTGAATGCCGTAATGTATCCTGATTCAAGTATCGCAGCAAAACAATCAACTGCAAGAACAAAAGCTACTGCTATCATTAAACACATTTTAGCTCCACACTCGATCGCGCAAATTAAAACAGAAGTCGAAAAAGTTCCTTTTTACGGCATTTCAACCGATTCTAGCAATCACAAAGCCGAAAAGTTATTTCCACTGCTGATACAGTACTTTACGGAAAAAGAAGGACTGCAAATTAAATTACTAAAAATAGACTCATTGCCGAATGAAACATCTGATACAATCACTTCATTTTGTATAAAATCGTTGCAGGATCAGAACATCCCCGTACAAAATATTGTTGCTTTCAGCGGGGATAACACAAACACTAACTTTGGCGGAAGAGATAGGTACGGAGTTAACAATGTTTTTTTTAAATTAAAGGAGATTTTGTCCAAAGACATTGAAGGCATCGGTTGCCCAGCGCACATTCTGCACAATACAGCGTCCACTGCTGCCGATGTGATGTCGATTGACGTGGAGTCTATTGTTCTGAAAATTTTCAAGTATTTTTCCATATTCACTGTAAGAGTGGAACGGCTTAAAGATTTTTGTGAGCAAGCAGCAATAGAATACAACAATATACTCTCACATTCCAGAAGTCGGTGGCTTTCACTACTTCCAGCAATTGAACGCATACTAAAGTTATGGCTGCCATTGAAAGAATTTTTCGCTAAGGAAGCAAAAGCCCCAAAAGCTGTAGTCGATTTTTTTGCTGATCCCTTATCAGAAGTTTATACACTTTTTGTGCACAGTCAAGCATTTCTGATTGAAAAACAAATTAAAAAGATTGAAAAATCAGTTATTACCATTGTTGAAGTGAAAAATGTATTACAGGATACAAAAAAACAGTTGAGTGACAGATTGATAAATAAATATTTAGGCAATCAAACAACACAACTTTATAACAAACTAAAGAATGAAGGCACAATTAATACAAGTCAATCCGAAACATTTGACAAAGAAACAGGAGATTTCTTTAACACTGCTATATGTTATCTCGAACAGTGGACAGAGCCGATGACAAAATTTGATGTTTTCGCTTGGATGATTTTAAATGATATTCCTCAATGGCAACAAGTAGAAGAAACTACAAAATATTTAAATGAAAAGGATATAGGAATAGATGATTCAATGTATGAAGAATTTATGTACTTAAAATCGTTTATTGAATGTGAAATCAGCGATGAATGGAAAGCTAAAAATATGGAAGCAAAATGGAAACACTTTTTTGAAAAAACCGAAGAACTGGAAAGAAAAGCAAATCTTCTTAAAATGTGTCAATATATTTTTGCAATCCCAGGCCACAATGCTCACGTAGAACGAGTGTTTTCGTTAATTTCAGCGCAGTGGACGAAAGAACGAAGTTCACTCAGTGTAAGCACAATCGAAAGCATCATTCAATGCGTTTATAATTATAAAATGTCATGCACGGAATTTTATAATTACGTCAAAGGGGAAAAGGAATTACTGAAAAAGGTTAAAAGTACAGAGAAATATGAATGGGCAAAAAAAAAGGACGTAGTGTAAGAGTTTCTTATTTTTTGATTAAATTTTCTTAAATATTACCAGTGTTTTTGTATAATCCATGATTTACCCTATTTCTGTTCTAAATGTCCCGGTCGGCGTCTCGGAATTTATGGCAGGCCTAATCTAACACCACCATAATATCTCATTCTTGATTGATATCCTAAATATAAAACAACATTTTAATCGCAAATGTAAATTCAAATTAACGTAAGATGATCAACAATTTATTAGTATTTAAGTAAGTTAATACTTTATCGCAATGTCTTTACATAAATAAATTGCTAACCCCATTAAAGTATACGATTTCAACGCAATTTAAAAGTATGAAAAATCGTAGAAACCGCACCGAGCGAAACGCAATACTTTTAAAACCGGACAAATCAGTTTTTATTAAAATGCCCTGAGCTAAATTATTGACGTATCCTGTTACAGAAATTTTTGAAATTTAGTACAAAAAAAAATGTTTGGTACTTTTTCTTTTGCAGTACATTCAACGTATTTGGGATATAAATCCGCGAAGAACCAATACACTAACACGGTACAAGATTTACCTTGTAAACTCGACCTTAAAACCATACGCGTTAAGTATCTTTGTATCTACAAAACGGCACAAGATAAATTTGTAACTTCAAACAATAGATGCGACATCCATTGTATCACGAAGTACTTTTCTAAGATTCAAAATTTAACGCCTCAAGGCATTCTAACAAAATTCCATTGTCAAACTTTGTTACCAGAAAAAAAATCGAGCAGATGTACGCAAACACCTATTGTCGATGAAGAGGCAAAGTCGAGGACCATCTAAAAATAATAATTGTCGTTTAATGAAGTGGCCCCACTATGGCGTTCGACACTGCTTGACTTTTCAGAGTTCCGCACGTATCTTTTAAAGAGTTGATTTACAGTAAAATTTAATTCTTTTAAAGCTACGAATAATGTGATAAATGATTTTAATCTTACTTACTTACATCCTTAACAGCTAAATGCTGCAACTATATTTCCATAAGCAGCTGTAGCCTGAACCGTCTTATAAACATAATGCAGCACTAAATGCTGCATTTAAAAGCAATTAAAAGTTTGAGATTTTTTTTTAAATTATTTTTAACTTTACTTAATATGATTTAGTGAGGTAAAATATTATCAGAAATTTTAAAGATATGGTAGCAAGCCTCGTAGTCAGGATTGGTACCAACCAACCTTCAACCTAAAGCCACGGTAGCTTAGGAAATAATCCGAACTAAGCTACCCGAGTTTGATCTCTGCCGGTACCGTGGTGAAGGATATCATCGCTAGAAAACCTGCATATCTCAAAAGTAAAATATTTCGAGGACTTTGAATTCCGACAATATTTATTGGAGTGATGCGCTGAACTACTAATACTGATTTGATAGCTCTTTCAGAAATGAGGGAGGCCTGTGCCCGACAGTGGGACATATAATACATTGACTTTAATTTCACTTATTTTTAGAAATAGCTAACGTTGTCAAACAACACGACATTCACTGCTGTCTTCTTGTTTGAAAGATAAGAGTGTGCGAGTACCAGTATAATAACAGGCTGTGAAGCATTTCATCGTAGTCCTCAGGGGTGACAACGCTTAAGTTGCTTTATTTGTTTGAAGATCAAGAGTAATCATGGAATAGAATTGAATAGAATAGAATGATCTTTATTCGATATAGATTATTAAATTATGCCTACAGAAAGATTTTTTTTATTTACTATTAGTTCGAAAAATACCTCTGTCCTGGGAAGATAAGAAGTAGGTAGGGCTGCGTTAGCCACTTACCATAATCAGGTGAATTATTATATAGTTTTTGATTATTATGTTATTGTTGCGCGCCTAAGTTGACGTCATGTAGTGTCAGGGACGAGAGCGGGGGGAGCTTTCCAGAAAATGACATCACTAATCTTTCAACCGACATATATAGAAAGCGCCATCTGGTGTCGAAACGAAGAACTAAGCTTCTAGAAGCCGACACTCGAACTTTCGGCGCCTTGTCGATTGGTGCGCGTATTTACTTGAATGTTCTGGATGTTTCGGTGCTAATGTGTATTTATAGGCGCTGCAAGGTGCGATCGGGGAAGTATTGAATTTGGCGAGACAAGCGAGCTTCGGAGCGGAATAAAGTGAATCAGTGTGATTAATTATTAGTGTTTTAAGTTTAATTAGTTAAAGTGTTAATTTTGGTAATTTAATCGGCAGTTTTTATTGTCAGGAACCTCAAGCTCGTAACATTATTATAAAACTTAGTATCAATCTCATCACCATCACTATTATTATTATTACATCCTTTCACAAGTTACCTTGCTGAAAACAGGTTTACCGCAAAGAATATCACAATACACGGTCTATTACCACGCGCATCCATCGACTTCCTGCATCTCTTACCAGATCGTCCAGATCGTAGGTAATATGGTCGGAGAGAGATAAAAACTCTTATAGAAATAGACATTTTCTGATCCAATATATGAACAGTAATACTACATATTGAAAGTCAGAGTGACTTTCAATACGTAGTACTACTATGTTTAACTCGCAACTAGCGGGCAATATATATGTCCTGGGAAGAAACAGTTTAAAATCATATATTATGATACACAATTAACTACATAAAACAAATTAGAAATAGCTTGGTAAAAATCACCATATTCCCAGGGGTTGTAATTATTCATGAATTCCTTAATATTAAGTAAGAATGAATTATTATTGAATCTGTGGAGTTAATAACTAGTACTACTATTTTAATTTTTGAAGTTAGAAATTAAGATTTCTTTTAACAAAACCGCAGCGTATGTTAATATGTGATAGTATTTCAAGTTCAACCATTACTAATTTAATTCATGCGGAATCCTTCACTTAAATGACTCACGCTTAACAATATTTTGTCCCAAAGCAAGGTGATTTGAGACGACATAAAATTTGTGGGATTTTTGTAGCGGTTTACTTATTCTCATTGTAAGTGTTGCCAACATGATACGCAGGTGTTAAAATTAAGACATACATAAAAATTATGTTTAACAGTATTTATTGGTGTCGTAATAATATTTTATTGCTTTCGAATTTAATAATTCGTGTGTTCATTGGTTGATTTGTGCAAATTGCTGTTTTTACAGCATAATTACAGACTAAGTACATTTCTTTGAAGTGTAATGTACGGCATATTATAAGCTCAATAGTACCTTTCTATAATTTTGACCCCATTTCTCGTTAAGTTTAATTATTTTTATAACTACATTTTTGATAGTTAGATGGTACGTGTTTCCTCGCACATACTGCGACTTACGGCCCTTCAAGAAAATATTCTATTCTTTTTAAAAAAGCTGAGAACGCATCTGCAATTCCTCTGGTGTTGCAGTTGTAGATGAACGGCGGAAGTCAATTTCCATCAGAGCCGCATGCTCGTTTGCCTTCCTTGAATTAAAAAAAAAAAGTTTACTAAAACATCACGAATTTAAACTCACGAAAACAAATAATAGCAGTTCAATGGCACACACACAGTGACAAGTTCATTGAAGCCACCGTAAAGTAAAATTACTGTTATAAACTTCCCACAGCTGGGCACATTACTTCTCTCATTTCTGAGAGGGTTTTAGGTCAAGGAAATGTCCGCTGTGGTTCTCTAGTGCATTTTGTCGGGTTTCTTCTTCTTCTTCTTCGATTTTTTATTTTTCAGACATGATGATGATCACGATGTTTTTCTTCACCGTAGAACACATGGTAAATCAGAATTTAAATATGCATTTAAACTAATTTATTCGTTTCGACGGGGAATGAGCTCGGGTTGCTAGCGTATCGTGATATTTGCAGCATTTTAAGAACTTTGCCCGTGAGCTGTCAAGACTCCTTCAACTAATTTTATACAGTAAACAAACATTATGAATTATATTTAAAAAAACGAGCATTTCAGTAACAATACCTATGTAACAAGTTTCTTGTATCGTGTAGACGTTTTATATAGGCAATTTTTGCACGTGGACAAACCACCCAGAACCAAAACAATATTTGTTGGCCATTATCATTATCACCTCAACCGCGTTAAGCGCAAATATTCAGGAAGTTGCTAGGCGCTGCCACACCCCCTTTTTTTTTTTGAAGAGGATAATTTAAAAGCGCCTGCTTTCCACATTCATTATTTTAGCTATCCACAAGTCCGCTGGTGAATATAGGCTTCTCACAAGGAATGCCAAAGAGCATTTTTTTAAGATATCTGCATCTATCGAACACTGTAGGTCTTACCAAGATGTCATTCCACCTAGTGGGGCTCCTCATTACATTTCGCTTACTGGTGCGAGACCACTCAAGAACCTTTTTTCCCCAGAAAATGTTGGTTCCTCAAGCTATATGGCCAGCCCATTGTCACTTCCGCTTACTGATCCATCGGGCTGTATCGTTTACACTGGTTCTGTGGATATCTTTATAACGATTACTATCATGCAAAGAAACCCCGATCATAACCATTTCTATAGCTTGCTGAGCGATTTGTACGCCAAGCTAGTACAAAAATGCAGTTGTTCATGGGCGGCGGTTAACACTTACCATCAGGTGAGCGCCATGCTCATTTACCCCCACTTATAAAGGATGTAAATCTTCGATCAACAGTATTGTTGATCGAAGATGTAAATAAAGAGTGGATTTCATTTATATATGATTGATCACTGTTGTAGTCCACTGCAAAACATAGGTCTCAACGAGGGGAGAGGAGTAGGTAGGAGTAGGGTAGAAGACCATTGAGAAATGAGTTTGTTAGAGTACTCTGTGGAGGCTCTACGGAATACTTAATTATAGACCTGGTAGACCTTTTTTTTGTACATAGTACAACGCATTGTATATTATATACTGTATTAATATATCTTACTCAACATTACTACTCCTTAAACTCCCTACTTAACTCGATCTTTGGCTACTCGCACCAGTATGCCTTGTCGATCACAGTATGTGCCCGCCAGTGAAATAAAATTAGTATAAGACTTGTGAAGTCCTTTAGTTAACACGCCCTGGA